CTATGAAAAAGTAGTTTGAGAAACTCACGAAGAAGCATTGACAGCAAGGTGCACAATGATGCTGGTAATACATAGGACGAAGAAGTAGGCTAAACTTAATAGGCAATATTAGATTATAGACTATATACAAATATGCTGATATATATAAAAAAAATTCTCAGCTAAATGTATCTCACACTGTAAAGTGTATTCAGCTGCATCAAATACCAGAAGGAATGTTCAGAGGAAAGGATGAAGCTGCTGTGCTTCCATCCTCACCGTGGGGAGGAGCTGCTTGCGTTAAGGGAGGTTAACACTGGCCGGGCTCTGTGGGGAGAGGCAGGAACAGGAATTATTTTTATGCTGCTGTCTTGAAATTACATTTTACAGAGGAGAAACTGAATAAAAATGCATCTCCAAAAGATAAATGTGATTATAACTAAAAAATGCATTTTTCAGTTAGGTTTAGAAGTAAAAGCTATAAATGCTCATCACACTTAAGCTAATGGAAAATAATGTGGTCAAAATGAGAAATCAGAACAGAACTGAACAAATGTATTCACAACACTTCTCTCAATGTTTGCAGCACAGCGCACACATCACCTAGGGATTTTGATACCTGCCTGTGTGTGGTGTACTGCAAACACTGAGAGAAATGTTGTGAATACATTTAACTACACCACCCCAGTCCCCTGGGTTGGTATCCCACCAGCTGCTGTGGGAGTCTCCCTGTCCACAGTGGTAGATGCTGGCACTAAATGCAATGGGCGAATGAATGCAGTGACAGGAACACCAATAACTGACTCCAAACGAGCGCCCTAGGTGATGACCAGGATGGTGGAAGTCAGACTGCGATCTCTGTGGCAGGGAGCTGTGCAGAAAGAACATTGGCTGAAGCTGCTTATTTCAATAAGCAAAAAGTAACTCACGAAAGAAAAAAGTTATGCTTGCTGTGATAAGCAAAATAAGTGCAAAGCCTTAGTGCTATTTCAGTTTATTTTTACAAGGGGAGGGTGGGGAAAAAAAATTTCTACTTGCATGATTGTCATCATGGGAGCTTGAAATTATTATTGCTTTGGAGCTGCCTCCCAATTTCATTATGAAATTGTTGTAGGCAGGCTTGTTGTTTCTTTTTCACTTTGGAAGAGCAACTCTAACAACTGTTTGCAGCAGGTTTGGGAGTTTTTTCCAAAAAAATCCACAGCCCTGGAGCTGGAGACATTCCTTCAACTTCTTTTTCCTACTGCACATCGTTGAAAAGGGCAGCTTCTATTTTCTCACTTGAATTTCTTAAGAAAAATGTTGACAGCCTAGCAAAATAGTTCTGAATTGTGACTGTTTTAAGAGCCAAATACACGCCAGTAGGGCAGCAGGGGGACTGTGCACACCACGGGGAGCGATAGGAGCACAGGAGTATCTGTGATAGTAGGCACAGTAAGAAATCCATTCGTACCAAGACTTCTCTCCCTGCTTTCCCACCAGCATCTCAAGGTCACAGATGTGGGGCGTGAACCTCGCATTCATTCCCTGTTTGGAGGCATCACGTGGAGGAGGATCGCCCCGCTAACGGGGAGAGTGCTGGGCTGGGTGTTCCCCGCAGAGCCTGACCCAACCGCTGCTGCTTTCTCACACAGCCTGCTACTCTGTGAGCAGGGGTCATGGTCACGCAGTAGCAGGGATCTCTTCCATGGTACACAGATGTGGAAAAAATTATAAAAATACATGTTGCATTTGTCTCTGGCAGAAAGCCAAGTAACTCTAGCATATTAAAAATGGGGTAACAGCTGGTCTTGTGCAACTTGGAATATGTTGCTTTACTTCTAAAAGTATTTTTCACGAGTTAGCCAAAATTTTCGTGCATGTGTAATTTTAACTACTGGTGGTTCTTCATACAAGTCAAACCTGTAAAAGCAGCAAAAATTGGTCAAAAAAACTAGGAATTCTGAGTATTCCAAGTTAAAGCTTTTAAAGTATATCAAAGAAATTACTGACCTTTTATAAAGCAGTATCCCTGCTTAAGATGGTTAACAGTAGTGAATCCTAAAACAAAACGGAACTACAACTATTTATATAACAAGTTACAATGTATAAAGTACTTAATTGAATGCAGTTAATCTTTCTAGAATACATGTATTGGATAAAAAGAATCATTTAACTTTTAACTGAGAGCTTTTCGTATCAGCTGTTAAGAATGCAGAAAGTTCAAATAAATTAGTACCTTTTAAAAAAGAACTTTTCCCCTTATGATTAATGGGATGTACATACGGGAGATTCTGTTTTGGAACAAGGGTAGAAATTGAGTATGCTCTGGATGTCCAAAGGTACACTCTAGAACATCCCCACTTTTAGCAAGAAAGGCTTTTCTTCTTAAAATGAAATAAAGCCTTACTCCTTTTCAGTAGCCCATAGTTTTAACTCTGCTTTAGTCCTTGCTCTTGAATCTCACAGGTGTTGACTGTGCTGCAAACCTCTGTGAATTTCTTTCTAATCTTTTTAATTCAGTGTAAATATGTTAAATTGCTTCCTGCTTACCCACTCAGCAATTCCTATATAGTTAAGGACAGCTGTTTTTATTGTAATACCATTTGTCTCACAGCATGTAAAGTTGCCCCTGCTGTAGAAACATTAATCTAGATTGTTTTCCTAGCTCTCTATTGTCTTTCACCTCACAGGGCTACATTTAGGCTCTGTATTGGAAAAAAATAAAGTTCTTCACCTGGGGGGGAAAAAGTCAACCTGACAGGAGCCAAGATAGAGATCTGTAAATTGAGTGGCATGGAGAGGGTAGCAAAAGAATAAATTCTTCAGCATTCTTTTTGATACAAGAACTCAAGGGAATCATGGAAGTGGTAAGTAGCAGGTTTGAACAAATCAAGGTATCTGTTCAGCTAAGTGTAGGACTCCTTGCTGCAGGATGCTGTGTATAAAACTACCTGGATTTAAAAGGTGACTGAAAAATTCCTGAACGGAAAAAAAAATCACCCTATTCTCTCTGAAAGTCACAGAACCAGAAACTGTTGGGGACTGTGAAAGCTGGTCTGACTGACTGCATGCTTATCCTCTTCTTTAGATTATTGTAAGCACCAGTGCTTCATCCCTGGTGGGCATGTAGCTGAGAGTGTTCTCCTGCTGCAAGGCTTTCTTTCAAAAATCAGGGAGAGTAAGTTGCTTGCTCAGCCTGTGTGAAGACTGCGCAAGAATTATCTGACTTCATGCACTAGTTGATGAACACAGAATAAACCACCCGTCTTCCTAGGGCATGGATGCTAAAACAGAAATGACTGAAAATGCTTTTAAAACAAATGATGGAAAATCTTCTATTTCTTTCTTTCTAGTAAAAAATTCTGAAAGCCAACTCTTAAAAAAGCAAAAAGGGGAGGGTGCATTTTGGGTATGGGGAATTCTAATTTAAGCTACTTGTTACATCACCTGGTCTTACACAAACTAGAGCATTAAGGTAGTATGCCTCTATTTATTAATGTTGTGACCAGCACCGTCCATTATTAAATTAATTTTATAAATCAGAAGAGCTGTCAGAAAGAGTAACTCTGGCAAATTTTTTGTGTATGCTCCTATTTTACACATAAATATACACACACACAGAGAGTTCAGTTTTCATTTTACCAGAATGTATTTTATGTACTCATCTTTTTATTGAAAGAATTGAGAATCAAACTTAATGGATGCATTCTCTGACAAAAAAAGATAAGTACATGTACTTACTCAATAACAGGGCTTCAGTTAGGAGCTTGTGTGTCGGAACTGTAATAGAAAAGTCCCTTACCTCTATGTGACAACAGAAATGCCCTGCAGCTATTAAAAAAGAACAGAGTAGACAACCAATGCTGTTCATGAACCTCTGCAAAAGACTGTTGATGCTTTCTGATTCTTAAATTGTTTGGAGAGGAAATACTTTTCTAGTGTTCACACGCAGAGAGAAACTATCCACTGTAACAAAACAAAAAAAAAAATTGTGCTCCTATTGTCAGAACAGTTTATTTACATACCTGGTCAAATGCAATAAACTGCTGCTTAGCTTCTATTTCTGGTCTGTAACATACTATTTTCTTTTTGTAAAGCTAAGATCTTTTCTATATTTCTGATAGGAAGCTTCTCACCATTAAAAGCACTTGCCAAATCAGCTACCAGTTTCTTTATTATGGTTGTCTCACACTGACATTAAATGGGTTAAATCAATGTATACCTTTCCTCAAGCCAGAATTAACTTTTTTGCAGTCTTGTCTGTACGTCCATACAGCTCACAAGGCAAAGCTTGTTAGACTTACAGACATCTATTAAGAGCTGATGAGGCTTTCCTTGTTCTTAGTATATTCATCTTTTGAAGGTAAAAAGTGCAGGTTGCTGTCTTGACAATCCCCTATGGCTTAATTTAGAGAATAGTGTTAGTTAGGATTTAGACTTTTCAAAGCCAAGTTCCTGTATCAGACTTTCGACAA